AAATATATGCATGGTAATCATTCATTTGATGCTGTTAAAAGTTCAATGTGTCCTAGTATGGCCGCCCTGCCCATTGAGACGCTGGATGATGATGTGCCAGACATGGTCCTCATCTTCCTACTAAGGTCCTAGAATGAAAGTGAGAGACTCTGAAATTTTTTCAAGATAGCATCTGTTGTGAGCTAAATTTGCCTGATGGAGTTTTGAATGTTATAATTTACTAAAAAAGATGATATGTAGGGTGGCACACTGCCTTTCCCCAGGATATGATGTGTGAAGCTGCACTGTGTTCAAACATTCTTGTGCATGCTTTCACCTCGAGCCTGTTCATGTACTGCTCGAGCCTGCATGGTATTTTGGCATTGTTCTCATTTTGTCTTCATCTAGGTTTGCAGTCTCCCATTTGGTCCAGGATTCTTTCTCAATAGCCCTACTTTGTTGGCAGTGGCTTCCAGTTGTTGGTTAAGGAGGCTTTATGCCCCACCCAAGACAGAGTTTTTGTTCCTTTGGCTCTGGTGGGCGTTTTGTTTGTTGGCAAGTGGAAACGAGTCGGCCAGCTTTTGAAAGGATCCTTGCGTTGTCTTTGATTAGTAGTTGGTTTGGCCGAGGATGTGAGGATGCATCATGTGCTGTGCCTGGTGGTGGCTGAGGGAGCATCATGTGCTGTGCCTGGTGGTGGCTGAGGGGGCATTGTGTGCTGTACCTGGTGGTGGCTGAGGGAGCATCATGTACTGTGCCTGGTGGTGGCTGAGGGGGCATCGTGTGCTGTGCCTGGTGGTGGCTGAGGGGGCATTGTGTGCTGTGCCTGGTGGTGGCTGAGGGGGGCATCGTTTGCTGTGCCTGGTGGTGGCTGAGGAGGCATCGTGTGCTGTGCCTGGTGGTGGCTGAGGGGGGGCATCGTGTGCTGTGCCTGGTGGTGGCTGAGGGAGCATCAAGTGCTGTGCCTGGTGGTGGCTGAGGAGGCATCGTGTGCTGTGCCTGGTGGTGGCTGAGGGGGGGCATCATGTGCTGTGCCTGGTGGTGGCTGAGGGGGCATCGTGTGCTGTGCCTGGTGGTGGCTGAGGGGGGCATCGTTTGCTGTGCCTGGTGGTGGCTGAGGGAGCATCATGTGCTGTGCCTGGTGGTGGCTGAGGGGGGCAGCGGTTGCTGTGCCTGGTGGTGGCTGAGGGAGCATCATGTGCTGTGCCTGGTGATGGCTGAGGGGGCATCGTGTGCTGTGCCTGGTGGTGGCTGAGGGAGCATCATGTGCTGTGCCTGGTGGTGGCTGAGGGGGCATCGTGTGCTGTGCCTGGTGGTGGCTGAGGGGGGGCATCGTGTGCTGTGCCTGGTGGTGGCTGAGGAGGCATCATGTGCTGTGCCTGGTGGTGGCTGAGGAGGCATCGTGTGCTGTGTCTGGTGGTGGCTGAGGGGACATCGTGTGCTATGCCTGGTGGTGGCTGAAGAGGCATCGAGTGCTGTGCCTGGTGGTCGCTGAGGGGGGCATCGTGTGCTGTGCCTGGTGGTGGCTGAGGGAGCATCGTGTGCTGTGCCTGGTGGTGGCTGAGGAGGCATCATGTGCTGTGCTTGGTGGTGGCTGAGGAGGCATCGTGTGCTGTGCCTGGTGATGGCTGAGGGGACATCGTGTGCTGTACCTGGTGGTGGCTGAGGGGACATCGTGTGCTGTGCCTGGTGGTGGCTGAGGAGGCATCGTGTGCTGTGCCTGGTGGTGGCTGAGGGGGGCATCGTGTGCTGTGCCTGGTGGTGGCTGAGGAGGCATCATGTGCTGTGCCTGGTGGTGGCTGAGGAGGCATCGTGTGCTGTGCCTGGTGGTGGCTGAGGAGGCATCATGTGCTGTGCCTGGTGGTGGCTGAGGGGGCATCGTGTGCTGTGCCTGGTGGTGGCTGAGGAGGCATCGTGTGCTGTGCCTGGTGGTGGCTGAGGGGGGCATCGTGTGCTGTGCCTGGTGGTGGCTGAGGAGGCATCGTGTGCTGTGCCTGGTGGTGGCTGAGGGGACATCGTGTGCTGTGCCTGGTGGTGGCTGAGGGGACATCGTGTGCTGTGCCTGGTGGTGGCTGAGGAGGCATCATGTGCTGTGCCTGGTGGTGGCTGAGGGGGCATCGTGTGCTGTGCCTGGTGGTGGCTGAGGAGGCATCGTGTGCTGTGCCTGGTGGTGGCTGGGGGGGGCATCGTGTGCTGTGCCTGGTGGTGGCTGAGGAGGCATCGTGTGCTGTGCCTGGTGGTGGCTGAGGAGGCATCATGTGCTGTGCCTGGTGGTGGCTGAGGGGGCATCGTGTGCTGTGCCTGGTGGTGGCTGAGGAGGCATCGTGTGCTGTGCCTGGTGGTGGCTGAGGAGGCATCGTGTGCTGTGCCTGGTGGTGGCTGAGGAGGCATCATGTGCTGTGCCTGGTGGTGGCTGAGGGAGCATCGTGTGCTGTGCCTGGTGGTGGCTGAGGGGGGCATCGTGTGCTGTGCCTGGTGGTGGCTGAGGAGGCATCGTGTGCTGTGCCTGGTGGTGGCTGAGGAGGCATCATGTGCTGTGCCTGGTGGTGGCTGAGGGGGGCATCGTGTGCTGTGCCTGGTGGTGGCTGAGGAGGCATCGTGTGCTGTGCCTGGTGATGGCTGAGAGGACATCGTGTGCTGTACCTGGTGGTGGCTGAGGGGACATCGTGTGCTGTGCCTGGTGGTGGCTGAGGAGGCATCATGTGCTGTGCCTGGTGGTGGCTGAGGGGGCATCGTGTGCTGTGCCTGGTGGTGGCTGAGGAGGCATCGTGTGCTGTGCCTGGTGGTGGCTGAGGGGGGCATCGTGTGCTGTGCCTGGTGGTGGCTGAGGAGGCATCGTGTGCTGTGCCTGGTGGTGGCTGAGGAGGCATCATGTGCTGTGCCTGGTGGTGGCTGAGGGGGCATCGTGTGCTGTGCCTGGTGGTGGCTGAGGAGGCATCGTGTGCTGTGCCTGGTGGTGGCTGAGGAGGCATCGTGTGCTGTGCCTGGTGGTGGCTGAGGAGGCATCATGTGCTGTGCCTGGTGGTGGCTGAGGGAGCATCGTGTGCTGTGCCTGGTGGTGGCTGAGGGGGGCATCGTGTGCTGTGCCTGGTGGTGGCTGAGGAGGCATCGTGTGCTGTGCCTGGTGGTGGCTGAGGAGGCATCCTGTGCTGTGCCTGGTGGTGGCTGAGGGGGGCATCGTGTGCTGTGCCTGGTGGTGGCTGAGGAGGCATCGTGTGCTGTGCCTGGTGATGGCTGAGGGGACATCGTGTGCTGTACCTGGTGGTGGCTGAGGGGACATCGTGTGCTGTGCCTGGTGGTGGCTGAGGGGACATCGTGTGCTGTGCCTGGTGGTGGCTGAGGAGGCATCGTGTGCTGTGCCTGGTGGTGGCTGAGGGGAGCATCGTGTGCTGTGCCTGGTGGTGGCTGAGGAGGCATCGTGTGCTGTGCCTGGTGGTGGCTGAGGAGGCATCATGTGCTGTGCCTGGTGGTGGCTGAGGGGGCATCGTGTGCTGTGCCTGGTGGTGGCTGAGGAGGCATCGTGTGCTGTGCCTGGTGGTGGCTGAGGAGGCATCGTGTGCTGTGCCTGGTGGTGGCTGAGGAGGCATCGTGTGCTGTGCCTGGTGGTGGCTGAGGAGGCATCATGTGCTGTGCCTGGTGGTGGCTGAGGGAGCATCGTGTGCTGTGCCTGGTGGTGGCTGAGGGGGGCATCGTGTGCTGTGCCTGGTGGTGGCTGAGGAGGCATCATGTGCTGTGCCTGGTGGTGGCTGAGGGAGCATCGTGTGCTGTGCCTGGTGGTGGCTGAGGGGGGCATCGTGTGCTGTGCCTGGTGGTGGCTGAGGAGGCATCGTGTGCTGTGCCTGGTGGTGGCTGAGGAGGCATCATGTGCTGTGCCTGGTGGTGGCTGAGGGAGCATCGTGTGCTGTGCCTGGTGGTGGCTGAGGAGGCATCATGTGCTGTGCCTGGTGGTGGCTGAGGAGGCATCATGTGCTGTGCCTGGTGGTGGCTGAGGAGGCATCATGTGCTGTGCCTGGTGGTGGCTGAGGAGGCATTGTGTGCTGTGCCTGGTGGTGGCTGAGGAGGCATCATGTGCTGTGCCTGGTGGTGGCTGAGGGAGCATCGTGTTCTTGAATGCTTTGTGGATTGATTTTGTTTTATTGGTTTCCCTGCCTGGTGTGTCACTGTTGTTCTTCTCTGTGGTTAGTTAGCTTCAGGGAGCCACAAAAGGTTTCCCTCAGAAAACCAGCTTTGAGTAAAATGAAAAGGCAATTTTTGTGTGAGTCCCGATGGCTCTTCATCTTTTCCTCTTCTCTTCCAAGTCATTGGTTGGGGATATTCTGTGTGTATCTGCTCCAGGACTAAGGACTTTAGCCAGTGGTCAGCATGAACCCCAGCATCCCTCCCTCTCCAAACCAGTGGGGGGGGGGGTGAACAAGAGTCTTGCTTCAAGATATCTTTTTATTGTTCGTTTGTTTACATTGTTGGGGAAGCTCATTCATTGAGTTGCTAGGGCCCCAGTTTCTTTGAACCCAGTAGTAGTCTGTATTGTTCTCTTGACTTTCCCAGTGCCCTTTCCAGTGAGGTGGTAGTGTGTCTAGTGCTCTGTGTGTGTTAGTGAAGGGGACCAGGTTCTGGCTCTGGACCCCAGTAGACAGAACTGAACTCCACAGGTGATGAAAACCAGTAGTTAGGGGGGCATCTCGGCATGATAGCTTCAGGAAGACACCGGGGCTTACCCAGAAATTGGCATTTCATTACATTCAGCATTGGGTTTTTGCATGTTTGTATTGCAAATCTGTTATTATTTGAATGTTTTGAGCCAAAAGTAAGTACAAATTATCAGGAAAACCTAAATAAATATTAAGTATAATTTCTGCACCGAAGTTATGGATTAGTAAACTTTCAATGTTTTACTTATAAAATAACAACCAGGTTTATTTTGTTACGAGTTTGTTGCCACTTTTCGATAAGATCACCCTTAAAGATCTTGCTTAGTTTTGTACCGAGTTCATAAACTTAAAGTAATTCATATTGATTCCTAGGGTATGGAGGAGCTGTTTACCCCCCAGGACCAGGCTTAGGGCCTCCTCCCCCAGATATATACAACCAACAGCCACAACCTGGCCAGCAAGGTATGCACAGTTCGTACTTGTGCACTCTGCTTGGACTGTTCTGCATGAGCACCCTTAATGCTGGAAATAATTAACTCGCCCTGCACTGTTGGATTAGCATGCTTGTCGACACCTGAATTCGCTTGTTATTTTTGCCGAGTGTCGGAATGGGTACCCGATAAGTTACTGTACTGTATTGTCTTGTTTATTCTTGGAATTGAAATGAAGTTTTAAACCCTGATACTCGGTTGATCTTTGTAGTTTTAAATAATTATTTATGACTGGGGCTGAATTCATTATTTATGACTGGTGTTGGGTTTATTATTTATTTATGACAGGTGTTGGGTTTATTATTTATGACTGGTGTTGGGTTTATTATTTATTTATGACAGGTGTTGGGTTTATTATTTATGACTGGTGTTGGGTTTATTATTTATTTATGACAGGTGTTGGGTTTATTATTTATGACTGGTGTTGGGTTTATTATTTATTTATGACAGGTGTTGGGTTTATTATTTATGACTGGGGTTGGGTTTATTATTTATGACTGGGGTTGGGTTTATTATTTATTTATGACAGGTGTTGGGTTTATTATTTATTTATGACTGGGGTTGGGTTTATTATTTATGACTGGGGTTGGGTTTATTATTTATGACTGGTGTTGGGTTTATTATTTATGACTGGTGTTGGGTTTATTATTTATGACTGGGGTTGGGTTTATTATTTATGACTTGGGTTGGGTTTATTATTTATGACTGGGGTTGAGTTTATTATTTATTTATGACTGGGGTTGGGTTTATTATTTATGACTGAGGCCATTTATCTATTTAATCTATTCTTGAAATCTGTTAATCTATCTCAATAATGCTAGTCGGCAGCCCATTCCACTCATCCACTACTGTATTTCATAACCAGTATTACCTTGTATACCTCCTAATGCTAAATTTATCCAGCTTGTTTCCAGTGTTGAGTATATTCTCATTATCCATCCATGGCATGTGTGTGATAGCTAACTGATTGCCTCCTCCTGCTTGACTAACCATCCTGTGAGGTGGGGATCCTAGTCCCACACAGTTAGCTCAGGAACCTAACTGGGATTGAGTTTCAGTTGTTACCTGCTAAACTGTATGTCACACTGTGATGACACATACTGCAGTGTGATAAATGGTTCTGACTTTGAATAATTAACACCATCACTGGTTGAATAAAGTAGAAGTTTAACCTAGCTAGTTTTAAATTTTGTGCCAGAGGACATTTTGGCTTTGAAAGATTAGATTCTTTTAATTTTATTTAAGTTTTACAAGTCTTACTATAATGTTTTGCACGTCATCCATATATGGTATGTAGTTACTGTCTCTACCGGTGGTGTGTGAGCCAGGAGTGAGATTCCAAGGTACTCAGGCTGCATACGCCTAGGGCTATCTTCCCTAGGTGCCCTGTAAGTACTGCCCTTGGGGCTTGGGGCCACCTTCCACAAGTCACCTTGAGTTCTACCTCCGCTGTGTCCTTTACTGCTCGTTAGTGGGCCGCCCTTGGAGTCGGCTGGGGTTTTGTTGCCCTGGTTTGTCTCTGGGTAGGTGGTAATTTTCGTCACTGGTAGGGGTGCGGGGTACCGCATAGCAAGTTTTCACCAATAACAGCGGCCACCTCTGTTCCGCCTGGGTACGTTGTTCTCTTAGCAAGGTTTTTCTTTTGTTTTTATTTTGCCTGGTGGGGGTCTGCTTTTATGATCCCCCTTTACTGTTCTAGGTGTTTTTATTTCGATATTTTCTGTTGGTGGTATGCCCCGCTTGGCCCCCGTAAGTGGACACGTCCCGGGGGTTCAGCTTTTAGAAGTTATGGTGCTACATAGCCTTCCCGTTGGTGCCTTCTTTTGATAATTACTTACTTTTAGAAGTTTGTTTGGTAGACTTGGGCAACAGTTTGTGGTACCCTGCCTGGGCTTCCCTTAACATGTACCCAAGGCTAAGGGCCCTGGGAATCCCTGGGTTCGGTTCCATGTCCCTTCGGGTTCGTCGGTCCTGTCATTCCTGGGGGTGTGTTTCGCCCCTTTTTCCTTGCCCTTTTCACGTTTACGTGATGATACTGTTTCTGCAGGGACCCCTTTCGTATCGGGGTCCCTGCGTGTCCCTTGATCAGGGGTTTATTTTTATCCATATGTACCTCCGTGCGTTTGTGCTTGCTTGTCGTGGTTCTCGTTGGTTCGCAAGTCTCTTTGTACCTTCCAATATTATTGGAACGTCTGTTGACTTCCAATGTGGTTTCCCTCTGGTCTTTTGTTGGCCTCGTTGGTTACCTTCCTTCCTCTGTCTTCTTTCGCTTCGTTTTTGCCTTTTGTTTTAGCGTTGTCTCTACTACTAGTTTCAGGCGTTCATCGTTTTCGCTATGTACGCCTTCCTGGTGTTTGTATAATGTGTCTGTACGTTATGTGTATGTACGAAGGTGTGTGTCCGCCTGGTGTACGAGCCACGCCACCCGGTGGATGGGTGGTGCATTTTGTACCTCGCGAGCTGGGGCCAGGGTGTGCATTTTGTTTACGGGCGGTATGCTCGTGTGTTCATGTCGTTTCTCGTGGTTTTCTATGGCTTCTTGCTTGTTTTCTCCCTCCAGTCGTAGCCCTCTGGATGATGAGGGTGTTCTGGATTTTATATCTGGGGGCATTACTTTGTTCTTCCTCTGCTTCTGGGTGTGGGATGGCTCGGAGTAGCGCCTCCTCCTCCCCTTCTGTACTGCTCCTCGTCTTCTGCGTTTCGCGCGCCTCTGGACATATTTCTCCTTAGATCCGAATTTTATTCAGGTAATGGTACATACAATGCCTACTGCCTCTAGTATGCATGGCATTTAAGTGCACCACTAGCGATGCTCCTGGTATGTTACTTGGCTCGCCTGTGTTGTGGCACAGTCGTGTCCTCTGCTCTGCAGGTGAGATTGTCATGTCTGGTGCCTCTGTCTGCCAGGTGCTGGTTCTCACCTTTTGATGGGGGTGCTTGCCTAGTTGTGCTTGCGGGGGTTGAGCTCTGGCTCTTGGGCCCCGCCTCTCTCCTGTCGGTCGATGGTTGTGCAGTTTCCTGAGCCTCCTGGGCTCTGTCTTCTCTACATTTAATACTGTGGGTGGAGTCTGCCTCCACCACGTAGCTTCCTAGTGCTTTCCTCTTCGTTTCCCCTCTGACATTGATCAAGTTCTTTTTCATGTCTGTGGCTCCCTTGGGTACTGCAGTTCGCTGCAGATACGAGGCAGCTCCTATTTCTTACCACCCAATCCCACTCATATACATGTCCAACCCATGCTTGCACTAATCGTGGGACTCCACCACCACGTTACGCAGTATTTGATTCCACAAATCAACGAACCTGTTACCGTACCAGTATTTCCTCAAGTCTTTCCTAAATCTACACTTATCCAATTTATACCCATTGTTTCGTGTACAAAATGTGCCACAAGGGTGGCATGTGCCACAAGGGTGGCATGTGCCACAGTACCAGTTCTATTGTTATGTACAGAATGATGACAATAAACAATAAACTCTAACACTAAGAGACTATATATATTTGTTCGAGTATACAGAAGTATGCAGGTGATACTTTGGCGAGCAATGGTGTGCGTTGAGCGCACTGAGAGTCGGTACAGTATCTCGCAAGTGTCTGTTCTAGACTACACTTGAAAGTAGACTAGTTATTATTCGCTACTCTGCTGCTTATATGCTCGGGCAACACCTCACCGTTCTCCAAAGGTTGGCAGGAATATTAACTGGAAGTAAGGAAAGGTTTGAGTTCCATAATTAGTACTAAGAAGAGCTTTGCTTCTCTTATTAGGCTAATGCGTTTGGAGCGAGTATATTATTGGGATAATCTACTCGCTACACCATCCTTGGTCACTGCTCCATCCTTGTTTACTCTTCCCCGCTTGGCAGGGTTGCGTCGATGGCTCCTAACAAGGGTGTTTGGTGTGTTGTGTTTGGTCACCTTGTGTGTGTGTCTTCAGTGACTCCTTTGTCCATTTCTCTTGCTCTTTGTTGTCCTGTGGGGCTCTGCTCCGCATTTCGGTGCTTTTGGTTTCGTTGTTGGCACCTGGGTCTTTTCCCTATCTGGACACTCATTCTTTGCCTATCTTCGGTGCCTGGCTGCACCCTGCTGTCCATGAGGTCCCATGGGTATGTACGCCCTCCTCTACACATTTTGTGGCTGGTCGTGTGCATTACTTCCCGGCCGCTCCTTGGTCCGTATTCGGGGTTTTCCTTACCTATCTCTGTTTTTCCTCCTCCTATGCTACACTAGTTTGTAATTACCTAAGTGTAATTACCTAAGTGTAGTTACAGGATGAGAGCTACGCTCGTGGTGTCCCGTCTTCCCAGCACTCTTTGTCATATAACGCTTTGAAACTACTGACGGTCTTGGCCTCCACCACCTTCTCACTTAACTTGTTCCAACCGTCTACCACTCTATTTGCGAAGGTGAATTTTCTTATATTTCTTCGGCATCTGTGTTTAGCTAGTTTAAATCTATGACCTCTTGTTCTTGAAATTCCAGGTCTCAGGAAGTCTTCCCTGTCGATTTTATCAATTCCTGTAACTATTTTGTATGTAGTGATCATATCACCTCTTTTTCTTCTGTCTTCTAGTTTTGGCATATTTAATGCTTCTAACCTCTCCTCGTAGCTCTTGCCCTTCAGTTCTGGGAGCCACTTAGTAGCATGTCTTTGCACCTTTTCCAGTTTGTTGATGTGCTTCTTAAGATATGGGCACCACACAACAGCTGCATATTCTAGCTTTGGCCTAACAAAAGTCATGAACAATTTCTTTAGTATATCGCCATCCATGTATTTAAATGCAATTCTGAAGTTAGAAAGCATAGCATAGGCTCCTTGCACAATATTCTTTATGTGGTCCTCAGGTGATAGTTTTCTATCTAGAACCACTCCTAGATCTCTTTCTTTATCAGAATTCTTTAAAGATTTCTCACATAATATATAGGTTGTGTGGGGTCTATGTTCTCCTATTCCACATTCCATAACATGACATTTATTAACATTAAATTCCATTTGCCAAGTGGTGCTCCATATACTTATTTTGTCCAGGTCTTCTTGAAGGGCATGACAGTCATCTAAATTTCTTATCCTTCCTATTATCTTAGCATCATCAGCAAACATGTTCATATAATTCTGTATACCAACTGGTAGATCATTTATGTACACAATAAACATCACTGGTGCAAGAACTGAACCCTGTGGTACTCCACTTGTGACATTTCTCCATTCTGATACATTGCCTCTGATTACTGCCCTCATTTTTCTATCAGTCAGAAAATTTTTCATCCATGATAGAAGCTTACCTGTCACCCCTCCAATATTTTCCAGTTTCCAGAACAACCTCTTATGTGGAACTCTGTCGAAAGCCTTTTTTAGGTCCAGATAGATGCAGTCAACCCAACCATCTCTTTCCTGTAATATCTCTGTGGCTCGATCATAGAAACTGAGTAATATCTTGTGTATCTGGGTCGGGGCTTCTTGACTATCCTGATGTTGGGTGCTTGGGTGGACCTGTGTTCCCTGCTGTTGGACTTCTCCGGTGTTCCGTTTTGGTACCAAGTTCCCACGATTTTCTTTGTGACTTCCTGCAGGCTTCGGTGTTGCGCTGTCTGTGGGGGGGTTGTGGACTTTCAGTCCGCCGCTCCTGCCTTACTGGTTCCTTTTCTTGGAACCGGTAGCTGGGTTCCAGTCCTGGCTCCGGTTTTTCTTTGTTCCTTTTCCGGAACGGGTGTGTTTGCTTTCCTGCGGTTCACGTCCTGCGTAGTTCTCCTCTTGGATGCCTCAGGGACGCGTGCGTCATTCTTCCCTGCTGGAGCTGGTTATGTTGCTCCTTTGGGTTGCGGGGTCGCTGTTTTTCAATTCGCGTTTTGCGGTTTCATTCGTGGTGCTCGTTTCTCATTATTTTTGTCGGCACTGGTAGGTTCATTATTGGTCTCCCACCTGCGTGTTTCGTCTCAGGGGCGGGGTGTGGTTTTCCTGGCGGTCCTTCCGGTTTTCCTATCACTGCGAAGGGTCCTTCAGTCTCTGGTAGGGTTGACTTGTCTTCCCTTCGGGGTTGTTCCGGGACCGTCGTCTGGGACCGTGTCCTGTCACCTCGTATTGGACGGTGATGGCGGAGCCGCTCCTCCTTGTGTTCAGTGTTGCGATTCCTTCTGCTCCGTTCCGCTTGCTGTCCTGGGCCTTGTTTCACCTCCGGCCTGCTCTTGAGTTCGGGTGCCGTCCTGGTCGTTGGCCTGGGTGGTCTATTTTCTTCTCGTTTTGGTCTTTGGGTTGCTGCTTGGTTGGTCAGGCCGGGGGGTGCTTCCTTTCTTGTTCGGTTGCGTTTTGGTTGTTTGCGTCCCCTTCTTCCTTCGTTCCTGTTCAGGGGTTCGGGTCTGCAGGGTCTTTGTTTTGTCTGTGGTCTGTGGGCTTTTTAGGTTAGGGCGCATAGTGTCCGCCTCCCGGTTCCTTCCCTATTTTCCTTATCTGTGGTGAGATAGCTCCAGGGAGCCGACGGGGCTTCCCTCCCCCAGAAAACTAGCGTTGAATGTAATGAAACGCCATTTTCTGGGTGAGTCCTGGAGGCTCCCCGGCATCCCTCCCTCCCTCCCTCCAGTTGGCGGCGTTTTTCACGTATTTTGACATCCAGCCTAAGAACTGCCAGTTGGATCGCCGGTGTGGAGAGTCTGGGGCTCCCCCTTTCCCCTCCCGGGGAAGGGGGGGGGGATTGCGCAGACAGTGGTGCGGCGACATGATGACGTCATGCTAGTTTGGTAATTTTGTTTGGGGAGTTCTGTCCACTCATTCGGCTTTCAGTAGCAATATTTTCACCAGAATAGGGGTTTGTTTTGGGGCGCCTACATTTCTGGGTGCTTATTCCGGTCGATGGTAGACATAGAATGCTCCCAACCACAAGGGGGTTTCTATAGGCCATTGCTCCTTGTGCCTCTCTGAGGGGGCCCTCGTGGTCCCTGGTAGGCAAGAACTCCTAGCCCTTTGACTGATGCCAGAAAGTTATACATATCCATTCAGCCTGGATAGCTCCGGGGAGCCTCCGGGACTCACCTAGAAAATGGCGTTTCATTACATTCAACGCTGGTTTTATGATATTTACTTTATATTTGTGAAAAAATATAATGGTTTTGGGGATATGTTGAGACAGCTGTAGGATAACAGTACTCAGAACTCCACTCTCATATCACCTCTGTTTTCCATAACTAATACTAATACAGTACAGTACAATCTCAATTCAACACACTATATGGGACCAACCCCAGTGCATTGGAGCGTTGGATTCGTTGCAAGAGGTGACCTTCAGAAGGCATTTGTGTCAGTGTCTTTTCTTTTTCTTTTACACGATAAAAATGCATTATCATATTATATACTGTACCTAGATATTACTACTCTGCTAAAAAATACTGTGTTACATTTGTTATTTATCTTATTGTTGGAGTTATGTCCATCGTGAAGTCTCATGGAGTTGTGAATGCTGTACAGTAAATACGTACTGTAGTGCATTATGCCATTAGCACTGTGTTGATTAAGTAGTTCTGCTGTATGTTGAGTACTACAATACAGTTTATGAAAACTATTATACACTAAAATTACTGCAACTTCAATTTTAACACTATATGCACACTTAAATTTAACACTTGTTCTAACTGTTCACTCCACACATGATATTTTTAGATGTTTGCATCAGCTTTGCTGGTGCTCGCTGCTACTGTGCTGGCTTCAGCTGCTTCTGAGCTAGTGTTCGGTACGGCTGTGCTGGTCCTGGGTATGGCTGTGCTGGTGCTGGGTACGGCTGTGCTGGTGCTGGGTACGGCTGTGCTGGTGCTGGGTACGGCTGTGCTGGTGCTGGGTACGGCTGTGCTGGTGCTGGGTACAGCTGTGCTGGTGCTGGGTACGGCTGTGCTGGTCCTGGGCACGGCTGTGCTGGTCCTGGGTACGGCTGTGCTGGTGCTGGGTGCGGCTGTGCTTGTGCTGGGTACGGCTGTGCTAGTGCTGGGTATGGCTGTGCTGGTGCTGGGTACGGCTGTGCTGGTGCTGGGTACGGCTGTGCTGGTGCTGGGTACGGCTGTGCTGGTGCTGTGTACGGCTGTGCTGGTGCTGGGTATGGCTGTGCTGGTGCTGGGTACAGCTGTGCTGGTGCTGGGTACAGCTGTGCTGGTCCTGGGCACGGCTGTGCTGGTGCTGGGTACGGCTGTGCTGGTGCTGGGTGCGGCTGTGCTGGTGCTGGGCACGGCTGTGATGGTGCTGGGTACGGCTGTGCTGGTTGATTTTCTGCTACTAGTTCATGAAAAATATTGACTCATTTTCGTTTGTTTCCTTCCTTTTGTCGTGTCCTTGAGACAAATATCTTTCATCATCCTTAGGTGTTGATAAAAGCCTGGTAGCTCTGGATGAACGCAGACTAGGTCTATACACCCTGCAGTAGGCTGGTGTTTAACCACCGTGCTGCGCAGAGTTTATTGTGAATTTCCCTCTGTGTGCATGAAATAAAGTGTTCCCCCAAAAATTCTTTTTTCTTCGTAAAATTATAAATTCCCTTCCCCGAATATGTCTGTGTAAAAATAAATACCAAATTCCACTTACTTTGGCTGTGAGGACGTGGACAAGGTGCACTGTGACGTCATCAGGGCCTGGTCGCCCCGTGCATGAATCGCCCAGACACGGTCGCGTGGGCCATTCAAGCACCAGGTGTTGCCACAAATATATTTTCAATTATTTGTTCTATGTATTTCCAATGCGGTTTTATTTGTTTTTTTATCATATATGACACATATTTGTGTCCTTTACATTATGTATACAGTAGAATGTTCACAATTTTCCATGGAACTGTGATACATGTGTCAGTAATGTGTCCGCAATAAATGTTTATTGTCGCAATATTACTTTTTAAAAATTAACTAAAATTACAATATGTACAGTTTCACACACTATATACACAGTAACACACTGTATTACACACTCAGTACTTCGGAAGTGAGTAATAATCAACGAAGTAGTCCATGGTGCACAGCGCGGCTTCGCTCTTGTTGCACCAGGTACAGATAAATTTTTGCTTCCTGTTTCTTCATTCTGTGTGCTTGCAAATAACGCACTCACATACACCCTTGGCTTTAGTACTTGTAGGTTGTATGTAGCCAAGCTTGTAAAGCATAAGGATTGAAAAGATTATAGGAAAAGATCATTTTGTAAGATAGTCTTGAAAAGATCGCTTTGTATGGTCCCACACAGCAAGAGATTCAGCTTGCCTCAAAGAGTGTCCGTCAGTCAGAAAGAGATTCAGGTATTCTTGAAAATATCTATGGAAAACACCACCATGGAAGCCGCTAACACTGTTCATCTACATGTATTAGATGCATCATCACTGAATGCAGAAAACGATTCATCTGTGTATCATGTAAATAAATTGGAGATAGCATAGGATTGCAATGGTGACGCTCAGAGCTACAACTGGATACACTTGCTGTATCGTCCTCATAAGTGCTATATCACTTGCATCTGACCTTTGTGTTAGGTCTTTATTGCGCCTAGCTTCACCAATATTATGACCCTTATGTTCTTCAAACAGTAAGGTTTGAATTTCACCGACAGAGCGCTATCTTTCAACACCGCGTCAGACAGGTGTTTGGGAGCCAGAGGTGCGTGCGTCACCCATGGTTGCTCATTTAGTACTAACCCAGCCAGCAGCCCTAGGGCATTCTGGGAATTTTTTCCAAGATGGCTGGCTCTCACTGGAGGTCCTAAGAGTCCATTTTGCACACAACAAACCTCGCATACATTTAGAATGGGTACGGAAAAATCAAAAAGAGTTTTTTCGGTTGGCGCAGTTTCCCGCCGACAAAGAATACTTGGCTGGCGCAGTTGAGTGGTTAAGCCAGATCCAGTAACATAAATTTCTCTCAAATATTGGAGTTACATCAAATTATATATTTTTGTGTGATATTCTGTATTTAGTTTAGTAACATTATTAGAATAATAAGAGATATAAAAAAAAACTTATTTTAGAACTGATTTATTAATTTTATTATTTCGAGGCCGTAGGTCACTGAACTGTGGCAACAAAATTTAACGAAACACGCATGGTGCTGTGTGTACAAGGATTAGACCCGTCCACTCATGCTGGAGTTGTTCCAATAACGTAAATAATTTCTCAAATAACAGATGTCTATCATATTACAGTATATTTTTTATTTTATTTAGTTTAGTTTAATTAGGATAATAAAAAGGTATTAAAGCACTGGTTTCAGAAATGATTTATTAACACTTTGTGCGGATCAGGGCTCCGCCTGAAGTCCTGTTTCGCCTACTCGCTTCCGCGATGTGGACATAAAATGATGTCCTGAAAAAAATATTTGTATAAAATTCAATTTTAATCTGATTTACTTTGGGTTTGTTTCAAACTGCGCGCCATGAGGCTCTCTTTCTCACCACTAGGCTGCATAGTACAATAAGTTCATGAAAGGTGTGGACCACTTCGATCAAATGGTATTACCATTTTACCAGGAAAACTCACAAGTGGACCTAAAAGATAAAGTTTTATTTCCTGCAAATGGCTTTGCATAATGCCTTTGTTTTGTACAAATACAACACAACTGATCAAAAAAAGCTAACATTGCTACAGTTCCACGAGGTGGCAAATTGGGCCCTATTGTGCTGGGACCCGGAAGATTAGCCTCAAACAGCAACAGTATCTCAACACTTGCGGCACGCTCCAGACATAAATGATGACACAGGTCCTGCCTATGCTGACGCCATGCAAACTCCTGGACCATCTGGTGTGAGGCGGCCCTTGTTCACTTCAACACCTCAAGCTGAAGCAGCAACCGAATCAGAACCCGAGATGTCTGGCACACTGCCATTTGACGAGACGGTTTTGTCAGATGACTCTGACTCCGACTCAAATGTTGAACCTCCAGCGATTCAGTTGATTCTGAAAATCGCATGAACTACAAACTGAAACGAGTATTTTGATACCAGAATGAACACTGTATCACATAAACTGCCATAAGTAGACTCGAACCTTCATAGATTTTTTTTTGGGTGTAGCATGTGTCTGCATGAGTGTCCCAAACGGGTAGATTTTTTTTTGGGTGTAGCATGTGTCTGCATGAGTGTCCCAAACGGGTTGCAGATGGGTGACTTTAGCTGTTTATACTGGTAATGCTTCCCCCATATCATGTATTATATGCATATGTCTGTTTAGGGAATTTTATTCCGATCAATGTACAACCAAAAATAACTGTGTGCAACAAGTATAAACTTGACAAACATAACAAAAGTAAAAACATTTCATGTGTGTTTGACGCTCACTGATATGTTCCAGCGTTGTTTTATATTTGGCGCTATTCTATCTTACGCTTTGTTGATCTTTTTTACCTACGGGCTCATAGAACATTCTATTGCGAACACATTGACACAAAAATGAATGACGTACATAGAATATTAATGTCAGGACAGTGAAATAAGTATAAACTTTCAAAGCGCCGTATCGCACGTGTCGTCCCGTCACCGATACCGGGTAACAATTTCACCACTTCCCACACTCTTGCGGGTGGGCTGCGACCATTATTCTACGTTTATATTCATATCACCGTGTTGGGAATTTCATTGCGAGTCCATTGATACCAAAATTAACGCTGTAGGACAAGTGTGGAGGTGATAACAATCCCAAGAGTAAAAACATTTTGTTGCTGTTGGGCGCTCACGGCGAGTCATCTTCGTAGTTATTTATTTGGTGCTGGTATCCCTATACGTTTCGTGACTTTTTTTACTGATGTTCTTCTAGAGAATTTTATTGCGAACACGTTGGTACCAAAATGAAATACGTAGCTCGAGAACTAAGGTCAGGAGAGTAAAAAGAGTATACACATTTTTGTTTTTACGCTTAAGCGACAAAAACGCCGCGCGCACATACCGCTTTTTTTTTTTACCTTCGCCGGGCGCGCGAAAGTGTTAATCTGAAACTTTGAAAGTCATGGGTTACTGAACTATGACGACACAGACGAAGGAAAACCAAGTGAGGTTTACAGTACAGTATTCCCTTATCTGTCCACCTTCACGTATCTTATTTCATCACAGAAAATGTCTATAAGGAGATTTTACCACATGTAGCTAGCTAATCACGCTTCAGCTTTTAAATTAATTTACAAAAATACGTGTGCCACAAATCAGTGAACGAAAGTCACGGAAACTCAGTCGTTCACTTATGTGGACCACAAAAATAGTTGGCAATGTTTCCTTTCACCTGATGACTCTGTTCACCAAGGAAAGTTCTACCAAGGAGTTAGGCATTTGTTGTGGGTTGCATCCTGAAGAAAGTCAGTATGTATTTGGTTTAGGGGAGACAACGATAAACCTAAATACCTGTACAGGCGTCCTGTCCCCCAGCAATGGAAATTAAATACTTAAACAACTTCAAATATTTCTTGTGTTTTTGTAAAGAGGTTAATGTGAGTTGATTATTATCCCTCAGGAGGATGGATGCCCGCACCAGTTGCCACCAACTGCCCTCCAGGACTGGAGTATCTTACTCAGGTTGACCAGTTACTTATTAAACAGAAGGTGGAGCTTCTGGAAGGTAAGTGTTTAGCAGTAGTCTTCTCACCATGGGAAGGGCAATGGCTCTCTCTATTTTTTATCAAAGCTCTCCCATGTAGTATGTAGGAGTGAATGTGGTTCCAGGTGTGGCATAAAGAGTACACATTACTCCAGCTGTGATGTACAGAGTACAAATTACTCCAGCTGTGATGTACCAAGTACATGTCACTCCATCTGTAGCGTACAAAGTACATGTCATGCCAGCTGTGGCATACGGAGTAGATGTCACTCCAGCTGTGGCGTACAGAGTACACATCACTCTAGCTGTGGAGTACAGAGTACACATCATTCCAGCTGTGGCATACAGAGTGCATGCCACTCTAGCTGTGGCATACAGAGTACAGTACATGTCACTCCAGCTGTGGCGTACAGAGTACACATCACTCTAGCTGTGGCGTACAAGAGTACATGTCACTCCAGCTGTGGCATACAAGAGTACATGTCACTGCAGCTGTAACATACAAGAGTACATGTCACTGCAGCTGTGGCATACAAGAGTACATGTCACTGCAGCTGTAACATACAAGAGTACATGTCACTGCAGCTGTGGCATACAAGAGTACATGTCACTCCAGCTGTGGCGTACAGAGTACACGTCACTCCAGCTGTGGCGTACAGAGTACATGTCACTCCAGCTGTGGCATACAAGAGTATATGTCACTCTAGCTGTGGCGTATAGAGTACACATCATTCCAGCTGTGGTGTACAGAGTGCAGGTGTGGGTGGTGCTCCTGCTAGTGATGTTACTTCAGTGCTGCCATATAGACTGCAGGAGGACCTGATGTTACTCAGACTGTAATGGTATAAATAACATTTATCTCTCTTGCAAATATTAATTGAATTTGAAAGCTAATTTATACTCTTAGTCATGTTCTCTTGTGTCATGTAACTCTTCCGGTGTGATGTTAACATGACTATGTTGAACACCATTTAGAGCATGTAAAATTTTACGTTCTAATATATCACTGTAGGTTTAATGTAATTTAGATTCTGGTAGACATGCAACATAATTCTTTTGTAATTCTCATTCTTTCTTTTCAAAGTGTTTGCTTTTGGTGAAAGTTGTATTGTTCTTTATAAAGCTACAAATTATTAGACTAAAGTTACTATATAGGACAGTATGTGAAACAACTGTACCTTTTAATCTACATTCTTGCTTCAGAAATTACTGTAGCTAAAAGCTCTTGTATTATCACTGTTTTGTTTTTGTTTGTTGCACTTGTGTCAAAACTATTGTGTGATCAAATGTATCTATTTAATTTACATGGGCTCATGAAGTGTTAGCAGCTATGTTTGTATCTGTGTCCTATCTCTTTGTATATATTTGCTCTCTTTGTATCTGTGTCTTATCTCTTTGTATATATATATATATATCCTTTCTCTTTGTATACATATCCTATCTCTGTATACATATCTATCTGTATACATGTCCTATCTCTTTGTACCCATATCCAGTCTCTCTCTAGCCATATCCTATCTATGTATCCATATCCGATCTCTTTGTATTCATATCCTATTTCTTTGTGTCCATATCCTATCCTATCTCCTTGTATCCATATCCTATCCTATCTCTTTGTATTCATATCCTATCTCTTCGTATCCATATCCTATCTCTTCGTATCCATATCCTATCTCTTCGTATCCATATCCTCTTTGTATCCATATCCTATCTTTGTAGCTGTATCATATCTCTTTGTATCTATATCCTCTCTCTTTGTATTCATATCCTATACCTTTGTAGCCATATCCTATCATTTGTAGTCATATCCTGTTCATTTGTAGTCTTATCTAATCTTTTTGTAACCATATCCATTTGTAGGCATATCCAATCCTTTTGTAACCATATCCTATTTGCATCAATATCAAATGCCATTTTATCCATATTATATAACTTGTGCCATATCATGTCTTTCTCCTCTTACTAAAGCTGCTTTACATTCCACAGCCTTTACTGGATTTGAAACGTCTAATAAGTATAAAGTGATGAATTCCCTCGGGCAGCAAGTATACTTTGCTGCCGAAGATACCGATTGCTGCACCCGGCAGTGTTGTGGCCCCATGCGGCCATTTGACATGAAGATCATGGATAATACGCAAAATGAAGTGATTCACCTTAACCGTCCATTGGCTTGTGATTCATGCTGTTTTCCTTGCTGCTTACAGGTAGTTAATCTTGATGGTTTTATGTTGAGGTATTCACCTCAGGTTAGGTATTGAAATGACTTGGGGTTACATGTATTTAGTGGCATGCTAATCCATTAAGAGAATAGTTCCCTGTCATTCCACCCTGTTCAAAACTGAGAAAGATGATATCTGTTTCTTTGGTACAGTATATATATTCTCTGATGACTTATTCCTTTAACCCCCATACTGCTCGGTTATTAATAGCCTTTAACACCGCCAGGCACAAGAAATACAAAAATTAAAAGACAAAAATTCATCTTATAAAAGTGTTTATTTGTGTTCCCCTGACAACGGGAAAACTAAAAAAAACAAATCGTAGGCGACATATTTTGGTCGCAATATAGCGAGGAAGTCTGGCAAAATTGAGGTGTTGACAGAGTAAGCGTCGGAGGCAGTCAGCTCCACCCTCGCTGTCAGGTGGGAGTTGCCACAAAGATATTGTTAACTAATTATTTAAATGTCTAATTATTTTTCTGGGGGGAGGCCCTATGGCTCCTCGATGGCAGATATAGAATGCTCCAAATCACATGTGCATTTCTATGGGCCATTACTCCTCATGCCTCTCTGAGGGGGCCAGGTTCTGGCTCGTGGTCCCCGGTAGGCCTCGAACTCCACCTACATCGCCTGATGCAAAATAGTTAGGGTATTCATATCAGCCATGGATAACTCCGGGGAGCCTCAGGGACTCGCCCAGAAAATGGCATTTCATTACATTTAACACTGGTTTTCTGGGGGGAGCCCCTACAGCTCCCCAGAGCTATCCAGGCTGATATGCTAATGTCAGACTTTGGCATCAGTCATGTGTATGGAGTTCTTTGGGTCTACCGGGGACCACGGCCAGAACCTGGCGCCCTCAGAAAGGCAAGGGAATCAATGGCTTATAAAAGCCCCCGTGTGGTTGGAAACATTCTATGTCTGCCATTGACCTGGTCAAGCACCCAGAAAGGTAAGCATCCCAAAACAAACCCCCTGTTCCGGTGAAAATATTGCTACCAAAAGCCGAACAAGTGGATAGAACTCCCCAAACAAAATAGAGCAAACTAGTATGACGTCACCTGTTGCCGCACCGCGGTCTGTGCAGCTCCCCCCTCCCCGGGAGGGGGATGGGGGAGCCCCAGACCTACCGTGCCGGTGAGCCACACCCCCAGTTCTTGAGGCTGATGCTATAGGCAGCGGTTGTGTGCTCTGGCTCCAGACTTTTATGGAGCTGTGCCTTGTGTGTGGCGGCTGTTTTCCAGGGGTGTGAGAGCCAGGAGTTACTCTTCAGTACTAGGGTTGCATGTGCCTAGGGTTCCCTTCCCTAGGTACCCTGTAAGTACTGCCCTTGAAGCTTGGGGTTACCTTCCACAGGTTCCGTGGGATCTGCCTCTGTGGGTCCGTTTAACTGCTCGGTTTTTGGCCACCCTTTGGGTACTTGGGTGTTTTGTCTCCCTAGTTTACCTTAGGGTAGGAGGCAGTTTTGCACTGGTAAGTGGTGCAGGGTGCTGTGCAGCTTGTTGTCACCATTCACAGCGCCAAGCTCTGTTCCTTGGGGTACGTTGTCCTCTTACGGGATTTTTCTTTTTGTTTTTGCCTTGGTATGGGGTTCTGCTCTTCTTGCCACTGGTGTTTGGCCTCATCCTGATACTTGGTGGTGCCCCCTGCTAGGTCCTCGTGAGCGTATATGTCCCTGGGGTTCAGCTGTAGACAGTTTGTTTGGTAGTTTTGGACACCGGCTAGCAGTACCCTGCCTGGGTTTACCTGTGTGCGAGTCCTCTTATAGTAAACGCTCAGGACCCTGGGAATCCACTAGGGGATGCGTAAGTCCAATGGATGCGACCCGGAGTTTCCCCTCGCTTCATGCGAGTTTGAGGGTTGTTCAGTCCCCTTGTATCAGGGCGACCCTCACGGTTTTTGCCTCCGTCATGCTGCCTGTTGGGTCAGTGACACTTTCGACCCTGAGTCCTGTGAGTTTTGCTGCTTGCTGGTGACTCAATTTACCCAATCTGCAGATGATCATCTTCCGGTACAGGCTGCGCAGGTATTGCATTCTAGGTTTCGTTTGTTGCAATGCGCTCGGTTGGTTGCTCACCCGGATGCCCTGTGGTTGCCCCGTTTTGCTTATAGGGACCCGAACTTGGAGCTGGGGGTTGCCTCGACCCTGGTTCAGTCCTCACCTCGTCCTTTCCCTCTTGTTGTTTGTTCTGGTCCCCCCTCCCCTGCTTCCTGCCCCGAAACGTCTGAGGATTTCGAAGTCTTGAGACTCGGGCAGATTCGGGGGATGCCCCTTCCGGTGTGGCAACGGAGGCATTCGAGTCTACTCCCCTGGCCAAAGCCTCTGGGTCTGACCAGTGGGCCCCTTCTTTCCGGCTTGTACGGCTGCGCCGGCTTTGTCTGGTTGGGTCAGTGCTTGGGGGGAGGACTCGGCCCTGGGTCCTGCGTAGGAGGACCTACGAGTTGGACTTGGTGTCTGCCCCTCCCCTAGTTCGGTTCCGTGTTCCCCCAGGTGCTTCGGTTCCATCTTTTCGGAGGTTTTCGGCTTATCGCAACCAACCTGCTGCGGTGCGGGCGGCCCTTGCGGCAAACCTCCTGTGTGACCCGGATTATGCCTCGGCTATGGATCCCTCAGCTTTTAGGTTTGGGACTTCGTTTCCTTTCTGGCTCCGTTATGAGGTTCCGGAGTCGTCCTGGCTGGCGGACAGTCCTGTCTTTACCTTGGAGGCCTGGCACTCCTGCCGTTCCCGCACGCTTGAGTGGCAGGAAGCTTTGACAGTGCTGCAGGTTTTCCTGGGGGGTGACCTAGAGCACTGCAATGAGTGCTTGTTTTCTCCTGCCCTTTCACGGGATGTTGGTGTCGTTCAGCTCCATGTGCAGGTTCCCTCCCGTTCGACAGCGCTGGTGGCCTCTTGGCTTCGGCCTTGCGTTTCTTTTCCCTCCTCGAGCTGTCGTCGAACTGGCTCACAGAAGATGTGGGGGTGCTTGGGGCTGTTCCTGGTTTTGGTGCCTTGGCCTCGGTGGCTTGCTCATCAGCTGCCTTGCTGAAGCTTTTCACGCCGATCTTGCGGGATGCACTTGCTGTTTTATGCTTCTCAGCTCACGTGTCGGCAGGCAGTGCTTGCCTCCTCTGTGGAATCCGCTTGGGCCTTACCTCTTAGGATGTCTTCGCCCTTTTGTCGTCTCCTGTTTGAGGCTTCAGCTGTTGTGCAGTATATTCAGGCTGCTTCGGCTTCTTGCCGTCCTATGCCGGACTTGCTGGCTCTCCGAGGTCCCGAGGTTGGCCGTCCCAGAAAGGTCGTGCCAAGGCTCGGGGTTCCTCTCGTCGTGGTAGGCCACTGGTGTCGGGTTCGGGTTCGGCTCCTCCTTCGGACACGCCTTCGTCTGGTTGGCGGGATGTTCGGTCTGTGCGAGGTTCTGGGTCTTGTAAGGGGCACTGGCCCTTTCGCGGTTCACCCCATTAACGGGGCGATGGGGGGTCATGGAGGGTCATGGACTTGGGCTTGGGGAGTAGAACTCCCTGAACCCTATCAACCAGGTATCAACCAGAGGGGAGGCTTGCGTTGTTCGCTCACACCTGGTCCCACAATTCGTGGGCATTACGGGTCGTTTCGCGCGGCCTCCGGTGGCGTTGGGTAGCCCCCCTCTTTGGGGGAGTTCGGGGCGGGTGGGGCAGACCTCTTCCCCTGCGCTCTGTTAGGTCGTTTTGGAGTAGGTTCGCTTGGGCGTGGTCGAACTACAACGTCCCTCAGATGGATTTCCCTTTTGTTTCCGGTCCCGAAACGGGACTGCGCAGATCTGCGGTTCATTCTGGACTTGTCTCATCTGAACCCCTGGGTTCATTGCCCCTCCTTTCGGATGACTATGCTGTCCCAGGCTTGGCTCCTGTTGGAGCTGGGCGCTTGGATGGTGTCCCTGGACCTCCGGGACGCTTATTAGCATGTCCCGATTCATCAGGGGTTCAGGGACTGGCTCGGTTTTGTTGTAGGGCGTCAGGGTTACCGCTTTCGTTGTCTCCCGTTCGGGTTGAACCTGGCACCTCGTGTGTTCACGTGCCTTGTAGCACTGGTATTTGTAACACATGAATTTGAAACACCACCATTCAGTACCACTAATTAAAACACTGCTTAAAATTGTACACTAAATATTATTGTATCCTAGACTATATTTGATGGTGAGAAGTAAAGCAGAAGGAAGGGAGGGAGGAATAAAAGGAGAAGAGAGGGGAGGTGGAAAGATTTAGAAAACGGGGACGGGGACGGGGAACTCGTCTGTGGGGCAACAGAAAATGAGGAGCGCACGGGAAGGGGGAGGTAGGATAAGGAAAAGCGAGGAGGCGGAAGGAGGAGACGGGGGATACTGAGGAGGGGTAGGAAGGAGCAGGAGGAGAGAGTAAGTGGGAGTAGAGAGTAGCCTGAGGAATACTAATATATATACTGAGTAACACTTCCTATCGGTTGCACTTGGTAACACTTCGTTATTGAACACACTATTTATATTTAACGTAATATGAGCTGACAATGATGGTTACACTGGAACCAAAGGTACCTTTCCAAGAAAATGCTACACAGGATTAACTACGCAGCCACCATCTGCCTTGTCCATTAACTATATCAAGCAACGAGGCAAGAAACATTGCTTGACTTGGAGAGTCCTTTTTTCTTTAACTGTCATTAATTATGGGACGGTTGTTAGCAAACTATATCAAGAGGCTAAGAGGATCCAACAATTGACACAGACGGAAAGTTTAACATGAGTTTATTGAGAACAAATTATGCTATTCGCCACTATAAATCCTACACTAACACTGGCCAATAGTTAAGAAATTTAGACATGGAACAAAATCCTCAGAAATCACACTTTACCTTAAGACCTCTGTCTCTCCATCCGGTGGATTCACTCTGTCTCTCCCTGGCTGTGTGATGTTCTTCACAGACCCACTCTGGACCCTGGTGTCCGGCACTCTCCCTCTCTTCTAAGTCTTTTACAAGGTCATGTATACACACTAGATGGGGGAGGGAGAGATTTGCTGTTGCTACCTACACTGAAGATGCAAGAGATCAGACCACACGTGCACAAACACTCAAGAATTTTTCCATTAAACTTGTTTGACACTCACCATACTCTCTTCAAGAGAGGAATTATTAATTACGAGTGTGGCTGACCTCGGACCTGGCTAAAAGGGGTAGATCCATGGATGTTTACACATGAATCTGGGGTCTAATTCCATGACAATGTTTGACAGGAGTATCATGAAATATTACATACTTGAAACTAGTTGACTAAGACTAACCCAGGAATTTTTAATCAACATGCAAGATGATACAGAGTCATCTGGGCTGACCTCTTGGAGAAGGCTTCCCTGGGTGTGAACTCTAGGGGGGGGGGGTCATGGGTGTTACAGCCTTACATGGGTCATGGTGGCCCGTCTGCGTCTGTTAGCTGTTTGGGTGTTGGCCTACCTCGACGACTGGCTGGTTTGGGCTCCCAGCCGGTCCTCTTGTCTGCTGGCAAGGGATTTGGTTCTGTCTCAGCTTGCCGGGTTTGAGTTCTTGGTGAACTGGAGGAAGTCCCATCTGGTTCCCTTCTAGGTTCGGACATGGCTGGGCCTAGTGTGGGACTCTAGGACCACTTCCTTGTCTCTTCCTCAGGAGTCTCTCCTGTGGCTGCGGTCCCGCATGCGCCTGTTTCTGGGGGGCTCCCGGGTCACCCGGCGGTTGCTCGAAGGTCTGTGCGGGAGCCTGAACTTCGTCATGCTGGTCTACCCGCCGGGTCGGGTTTGGCTTCGTTGGCTGTTCTGGTTCCTTTGGGGATGTCCCTTCCGCCTCTCTCGCGATCGCTGGGTTCAGACCCCGGGGGCCTTGTGTCGGTTGCTGCGTCGCCGGCTTCCTCCAGGTTTTTCGGGGTTCAGTACCTTGGCTCCTACCCGGGCCGTCGTTCGATGTGTTCACGTATGCCTCGTCTCTTAGCTGGGGCTTTGTGACCAGTGCTCACCAGGCCGGCCAGGGACAATAGGGACTGCTCCCCGGTGGTTCATTGTCTGAACCGGGGGGGTTCGATGCGGTCCTTGGCTCTTTGGTTTTGGGCGCTTCGGGTGACTCGCCTGCTGAGTTCTCGGGGTTTGGATCTCCTGGTAGTTCGGTGTTTTCGTTGGCAATTTGCTCGGTGTCTGAACCAGGAGGTTTTCCTGCGGCTCCGCCTCTTCCAGCAGATCGAACCGGTGTGTCACGTGGCTGGTTCGATCTTCTCAAGCCTTCACGTATGGTATTTTTGACTCGAGTTTATCATCATCTCTATGGTGATCAGGTGGCTTCCTTGATAGTGTCCTAACTGCGGGCTTCGTTTCAGTGGCAGTATGAAGTTTTCCGGCAGTCCTTCCGGTTCTTCTTATGTCTTCGTCGTTGTACTTCGCTTTTGGTTAGGGTGTTGTCCTTTCTCTCTTATTTGTTCCAGAACCGTCTCTCATGCCTAACACTGTCGCCTCGTATCGTGCGGTGCTGGCGGAGCCGCTTCAGCTTGCTTTCGGTTTTGATGTTACGTCTGCGCCGTTTTGCAAGCTGTCTCGGGCGTTGTTTCACCTCAGGCCTGCTCATGCGCCGCCTGAGCCATCCTGGTCTTTGGACAGAGTGCTCTCTTTTCTTTCTTCTCCTTGGTTTGTTGTGGCCCCTTCGGTTCCGGATTGTTTTTCGAAGGCTCATTTCCTGTTGGCATTAGCCTCTGGGGGTCGGGTTGGTGAGCTTCATGCTCTCCTCTGGCGCAGGGGTTTCTTCTCTTTTGGTCAGGGCGATCGATTTGTTCGTCTGCAGCCTTCTCCCTCTTTTCTAGCGAAGAATGAGACTGCTGCTTTCCGGAGGGGTCCCTGGGTTCTTGGTGCTTAGTTAGGCTGGGGGTGCATCATGTTTTGTGTCCGGTTGCGGCTCTCCCGAGTTAGTTCTTTCCCGGCTCACCAGGTTTGGGTTCCTGGTTCCCTGGCAGACGTTCCTGCAGGTTCCTTGCCAGCCTTGGTTTCGGGCGCTGCTTGCTCGATGTCCGAACCTAAAGGTTTTCCCACGGCTCCGCCTCTTTCAACTGATCGGTCCAGTTCATACCGAGGCTGGTTCGGTCTTCTCCTTGGGTCTTCAAGTCTGGTGATTTTGACTCGAGTCTCTCACCATTTGTTTGGTGATCAGGTGGCTTCGTTGATTGTGTCCCACCTGCAGTATAGGGTTTTGCTGGCGGTCCTTCCTTTTCTTTTTGTCTCTGTAGATATCCTGCACTTTTTGTTGACGTGGTCTTATCTCGTGGAGGTTTGGGACTGTCTTCTTGACGCATATTGTTGCCATGTCTCGTGCAGCGCTGGCAGGGCCGCTATGGTGTGCTTTCGGTTTTGATGTTCCTTCTGCACGGTTTCGCAAGCTGTCTCGGGTTTTGTTCGCCTCCAGCCTGCTTGTAACACCTCCACATTGCTCACTCAAACCCCCAGCTTACCACTGCTTGCAAGCTCACTGTGACCCTCACTGAACTCCCAGCTAACTGTTAAACTGAAACATTAAATGAGGGGGAAGCTACAAATGAAGGGTTATGATTTAAATAATGAATAATAATTAAACTTAAACTTACGGCTGCCACCACCTTCCTGAATCCTGAATGTGCCTGCACTACTGATCTCCCAGGAAGGACAGAAATCAATAATTACGAAACTTGAAGGGGTATAGGAATCTGGGCAATAATGCTTGGGAATTAAATATAGAAAACTTTACTTACTGGGGATACAGGGACTTCCAATACAGCATATAAACACGACATATAACGACTCAGAATTAATAAGAAAGGGGGTTAACTAAATATCACTAAATCAATGTTCACTTTCCTTAACAAAAGACACGTTTATTTAATAAATTGGCACGAAAATATATCCTACTCTAAAACGTCCCTATGAAGCAAAGGTATCCATTGATTGAACTTAAGTACTCAGGAGCACATTACCTTATTCTACAATTACCAGCTATAGATGTTGAATGGCCCTCTCCCAGGTCACAGGACCTGTCCCCAAGTCACCCCCAAGACACACTGACTAAAATTTCCTTTGACTACTCCTGGGAGGCCTATGGTTTTCCCCACGAGCTTGGCTCCCGGCTAGGAGCACCAATCAATTCAAACCAAAACTGGATGCCTTGGTCCCTTGGCCAATGGGTGTCCGGCACTACCCTGGGGGACTCCGCCTCTCAGACTTAGTCCAATAACTTGAGCCCTCAGGCCTAGTACCCTGGCACCACTAACCAATGAAACAAAAGCCCCTGCTCTTGGCCAATGAAATGCCTGATACCTGCCTGGAGGCGATCTTCTCACAGAATCTTGGAAATAAGCAGTTACAACCAGATTCATTTGAACAAGCTTCGTCTGACCAGCCACCCAAGGGAAATTTGAGAATATGATTTTATGGCACTGACTTTTATTGGCCCCAACTTGTCCACAGCTATAGAGGAGGCAGGGAAGAGGGAAAAGAGGGGGGGTAGAGAGGGAAAAAGTGGACAGGGAGAGGGCTAGAGAGGGGCTGCCCAGCCACCAGTGGCCTTTAGACTTAGTGACTTAGACAAATGGGCGGAAGGGGAAGGGGAGAAGGGGAGGGATGAACAGAGGGAGGGGGGAAAGTGGGAAGGGGGAAGGAGAGGTGCTAGGTCTTGTGCAACCGATCGTTACATGCATATGAGCTGACTGAGCCGTCCTGGTCTTGGGCAGCGTGCTCTCTTTCTCTTCCCTTCGGTTTGTTTTGGCCCTTTCGGTTATGGTTTGTTTCTCCGTGGTTTCTGCTCTTTTGGTTTCATATCTACAATTGAACCTGTGTATGGAGTCTGCCTCCACCACATCACTGCCTAATGCATTCCATCTGTAACCTACTCTGACACTGAAAAAGTTCTTTCTAACGTCCCAGTGGCTCATTTGGGTACTCAGTTTCCTCCTGTGTCCACCTTCTTTGCATACCACCCGTGTTAAACAGTTTATCTTTATGTACCCTGTCGATTCCTCTGAGAATTTTGTAGGTAGTGATCATGTCTCCCCTTACTCTTCTGTCTTCCAGTGTCGTGAGGTGCATTTCGCACAGCCTGTCCTCGCCATTCATGCCTCTTGGTTCTGGGACTAGCCTAGTGGCATACTTCTGAACTTTTTCAAGCTTCGCATTGTGCTTGACAAGGTACGGGCTCCATGCTGGGGCGCATACTCCAGGATTGGTCTTGCATATGTGGTATACGAGGTTCTGTATACCACATATACCACATTCGCCAGGTTTTGGCTCGTTGTCCCCGGTAGGCCTAGGAACTCCTTTCACACTGACTGATCCCAAAGTCTAATATTAGCAATATCAGCCAGGATAGCTCCAGGGAGCCTCCGGGTCTCGCCCAGAAAATGGCGTTTCATTACATTCAACGCTGGATTTTTGTCTACTGATATTATATTTTAAATTATATTTTTATCTACTGTTAATAAATTCCTGCAACCAGTTGATTTGGTGTCATTAGAGTATTATTTTACAGAGCATCGAGGTGACCTCACCACCTGGGAATGTTATAGGTACCATTCGCCAGGAGTGGAGTATTCTGACGCCCAAATACACTGTACGCAATGCTTCAGATGATGTTATTCTCAGAATTGAAGGACCTTTCTGCACCTGGAGTATTTGTGGTGATGTTGAATTTAAGGTACGTTGATGCCACTGAAGTATCATGTACAGTACAGTCCTTTTAAGCAAGTTTTTTTTTTTTAGTAATAAAATCTAACTGTTTGAAGAAACTTATTGTTATGGATTCTCTGATGAACCAGATACAATTGCACCTGATTGGGAACGTTATACAATTAAAGAAATCATATAAATTTTGATAGAGGGAGGTCCATTCCAGTTGAACAGTAGCATCTGGAATGTGCAAACCAAAAATTATATCAATATATATAATATTGATATACTATAAAAAAATTATTAGCCCTTAGCAGTTATCGTCATATGTTGATTCTTGGGGTAATGTGGTTATCATCATATGACGATTTGAACAGTTATCTGGGTTTTACATGTATAATGCAAATAAGACTATAATAGCTCTGTGTGGATGCAATGGAGTTTATCTTGATCCATGAAGAAAATCCTGTTATCGTTTCAAAGTTATGTTACTATGTGAATATAGTTAGTCATGAATGCTAGGTGAATGGGGTCATTGTATAAAATTCCATCACAATTACCTGATACGATTACCAGTAATGTTCATATGGTTTTCACAACTCCATATGGTTGTAATGAGTTACATCAAATAAACCAATCGTAAATTGAACCATTATTAAGCATTACGTGTACTAGAAGCCTGTCGTTACCTGTGAGTTATGCATTGATGGCTTATGCCTTTGTTTTAATCTATAGTGTCAAATTAGGCCATATGTTATCGCCCAGAGCTCAACACCATTGTATTTTATGTTTATATGGTTTTCACTACTCTGTATGGTTGTAATGACATAAACCATCACATGAAATGTTATGAGTTATGTGAATTATGTGATTTATCAAGTTATTCAACACACACGTGTCTATAAATGAACTGTGTGTTTCTAATGTAAATTAGTTGTTTTCTAAAGAAAACTGTATTTTTCAATGTTATTTGAGGTTTAGAGCTATCTAGTGACAGCAACAATAATATTTCATAGCCTGGCTTATATATGTAAAGTGTTAGAATGTAATATTTGATTCCTCACAGAGTGACTTGATGTAATATAAGCAATGTTATAATCCTTGTTGTGTCAGTGTTAAGAGAGTAAACTGTGCACTTACTGCAGCCCTAATTCATTACAACTAATAAGAGCACTTGGTTTTCTAGGTGCTGTCCGCAGATGGTGATGTCCAGGTGGGTAAGATCAGCAAACAGTGGACGGGTCTTGTGAAAGAGGCCTTCACTGATGCTGACAATTTTGGTATTACTTTCCCCATGGATCTGGATATAAAGATGAAGGCAACCTTACTTGGAGCCGTGTTCCTCATTGTGAGTACCCATTTAAATTATTAAGATTTATCATGTGTTTTGGATTTTAATTACTGAAAATATTGTACTGTAGTTCTCTATGAAGGATGTAAGTGGTAAGGTGGGAGTTGAGAGAACCTGAGAAGTGTTATTTATGCAGCAGAGGAAGTGTGTAAATACAGAGAGGGGAGAGAATGGAATAACACAGTGGAATGAATAAGTGAAAAAGAACCAGTTCAAGAAGATGAAAACATTGTACACTCACATACTGCTATTTATCCAAAAACAGAGAAAATGCAAATTAAATGATACAAAATGGTGTATAAGGGGAATAGAAATTATTTTATTCAGTTTCTTGAACATAGTTTTTGGATAAAATATAGGTAATAAAGAGGATTTTCATAAGTTAAACCAGAATATTAAAGCTTCGACAGAAGTCAGCATCATGAATTAAAGAATTCTCAGAGGACCTTGAGGAAATGTTGATGTATGTGGTTTTAACATGTGAGCTGTGATGGGGCTTTCAAGTGTAGAGTGAATGGGGTGAAGAGATACACATTAGAAGGAAGGGTGTGAAGGGATGCACAGTAGAAGGAAGGGTGTGAAGGGATACACAGTAGAAGGAAGAGGGTGAAGGAATATGCAGTAGAAGGAAGGGTGTGAAGGGATACACAGTATAAGGAAGGGTGTGAAGAGATACACAGTAGAAGGGTGTGCAGGGATACACAGTAGAAGGAAGGGTGTGAAGGGATACACAGTAGAAGGAAGGGGGGTAAAGGGATACACAGTAGAAGGAAGGGTGTGAAGAGATACACAGTAGAAGGAAGGGGGTAAAGGGATACACAGTAGAAGGAAGGGTGTGAAGAGATACACAGTAGAAGGAAGGGGGTAAAGGGATACACAGTAGAAGGAAGGGTGTGAAGAGATACACAGTAGAAAGGAGGAGGTAAAGGGATGCACAGTAGAAAGAAGAGGGTGAAGGAATATACAGTAGAAGGAAGGGGGTGAAGAGATACACAGTAGAAGGAAGGGTGTGAAGGGATACACAGTAGAAGGAAGGGTGTGAAGGGATACACAGTAGAAGGAAGGGTGTGAAGGGATACACAGTAGAAGGAAGGGTGTAAAGGGATACACAGTAGAAGGAAGGCTGTGAAGGGATACACAGTAGAAGGAAGGGTGTGAAGGGATACACAGTAGAAGGAAGGGGGGTGAAGGGATTCACAGTAGAATGAAGGGTTGAAGGGATACTTAATAGAAGGAAGGAATACCCCTAAACTACTGTTTATGGTGCCTTGCACTGGTTAGTACTTAGGCTCTGTGGTTGAGGGCATTTGGGTTTTATTGTTGTGGGTTTCGTGTGCTTGTCTATATAGAACACCCCTGATGTCGTTCATAGCCATGTTTATCCTGTAGGCCACTTGTCCAGTGTCGGTTCTTCTAACCAGTATTCCCAGTGCCTGGGTGCTCGGCTTGATCCTTACCTTCAGCTCCTGGCAAACTCTGTGGATCTTTGATGTGGCTCGTTATGATTCGACCTACCAAGTACACACTTGCAAGTTTGATGGTTGTCGATAAGTTTTGCTATAAATTGATAGTCAGCTTTATTATCTCCTGCCACCTCTGGGGTGGATATTACCCTCTACCCCACAGCTTGCAACATTTGGGTTGACAAGTGTGCTATTTTGGTTCAAGCCTATGTCTTTTGGTTTTTCTTTGCTTCTGCAGTGATCAGACTCCACAGGCAGTCACTGCTTCAGGTTCATTTGCCTGTTTGTCTGTGTGACTTGGTGCTCTTGTAGTTGCCAGGGAGTCAGCCTGTTTCGTTCTTGTGGTTTTGTGGTTGGCGTTTCTTATGGTGCACTTTTCATCACTCCTCTCATTGTTCAACTGGTTTTGTTGTACATACCCCTTGTACACCTTCCTCCACTTGATTATAACAGTTCCCTCTTCTCTGTGCTGCTGTGAAGGGAGGCCAGGTTCTGTCTGGCTCTGGTCACTGGTAGGCCAGGGGGACTTCTAAGGCAGAATGTGACTCAGTAGTGAGGAGCTATCTCACCAAGCTTCAGGGAGCCACTATTTGGTTCTTCCACAAACAGAACCGGTAAAACTTAAATATAATGAGCCCAAGCATTAGATTATGTACTCCTTGGTGCTAATTCAATGGATTTTTTCAGATTAAAGGAAAGGGCTGAACAGTCATTATTTTCTGGTAGAGCCCTTCATGACTCCCAACTACTAGGTCCCTGGCATTCCCCAAGCTCTGAGCCCTCTCCTTAGGGAAGACACCTTCCCGCCTCAGGTGTTCGACGATGAATGTGGCTTTGCCCTGGAGCCTTTGTGGCAGGCTTCCTGTGTTAAAAGGGTGCCCTGTTAAGTGCCTGTGAGTATCTTTCATATCTTCATAGTCTTTGGTCCCCTCTCAGAGGGGTTTTTGCTGCAGGATGGTGGAGTGGGGGATCATTTTTCACATCCTCCCTCAATGTACAAGTTGGATCACTCGGTGGCTGTTCCCCTCAGGTTCAGTTCCAGATCCTGTTCGGTGTCTCGGAGTTGTCATATATCTGGAGGGTTCCGCCATCCTGTGTTGTGCCTTCTGTTGTCCAGGCGGATTTGCTATGTTACCTTCAGTGGCATGAAGACCTCTTTTTCTATAATGAAATTGAAATTGAAATAAGTTTATTGAGGTAAAATACACACAAAGGGATGAGGTAGCTCAAGCTATTCTCACCCCGTTCAGTACAACATGTTAATACATACATAGACACACATCACAAACAATAAACATATTACCAAACATTCTGAGAGATAAACATATACATTTCCTCCTTCACAAGTAGTATGTTATCAGACGTACACACAAATACTTTTATGACCTAGGTATACTGTATAGACAATTTGCAAGAGACATGCAGATAATTCAACAAAATATTACAATCTTGGTGCAAAATTCTTATATCTCTCAAGAATATCATCAACCTTTCCGTTGTGACACATCCAAGCTATTTGTTCAGGAACAATCCTTATCTCAGTGTTTCTATATACATTAATCAACGGACAATCAAGAACATAATGGGCCAGGGTGTGAGACCTTAACATACCACATAGTTTACACCTCGTGTCATTATCATGAACACCTATCCCATATTCCCAGTAATATTTGTACCCAACCATTTTGTGGTGGTAAACAGTAACAAGTTGTGAGTGAATCCCTTGTTCTGTGTAAATCATTTGAAAAGTTGTTTGGTGGTTTCAAGGCTATATAGTATTTTCTGTTCAGCGACTTTTTGGATTTTTTTCTGGTGGGGTGGTGAATTGTCACCTGTTCCCTATGCCTCTTAAGAGGGGGCTCTGGTTCTTGGTAGGCCAAGTAGAACTTCTGCAACTGATGTGACCCTTTTTGTATGAAGCAATCTCAGCAAGATGGCTTCAGGGAGCCTCTGGGGCTCCTCCAGAAAGAGGCATTTCATTACATTCACTGCTATGCTTTTATCAACTTTCAAAATAAAGAAATAAATATCATGAGTGACTTTTAACCTCCTTGATGAACATGACTGTGTACTCACACATACTGTATATAATCATGTGTTAGCGTTTAACTGGGGTGATTTCCTTTAACTTTAATTTTCTTTTAATTAGAAAAGTAATTAATGTTTCTTTTAGCCGTACCATTTAGTGTTTTAGCAATAACAGAAATCTTTGTGTAATGATTTTGTGCATGTTTGTGATTCTTGGGGTTTTCACTGTTTTTAATAGAAAAGTTCTATTAATTTTCTTGTAGCATCGTCCTATTTCTCTTTGTACTTAAGTGAAATATATGTATTTCTTATATTATTTTATTTTGTAGTAAATGAATACTGTTAGAATCTTTTTCCTGAGTGACCTGAGTAGTATTCACATTGAGTCCTTCACTGGGTTTAAAAAGCTGCTGCTAATCAACCAATCCTCCTATTGAGATACAGCGGTACGTCTGTTTATGAATTTAATCCGTTCCCAGAGACAGTTTGTAAACTGAAAATTCGTAAACGGAAACAAGTTTTCCCATGAGAAATAAGGTAAATTGAATTATCCATTCCACACTCCCAAAAATATTAACTTAAAAATACATTTAATACATAATATTACAAATATTTTGTGATATGTACAAAATAACTTATACAACACTATGTGCAAGTTATATCTTACTTTTATTCATGACTCTTGTTGGCGTATGGAAGATGGTGAGGAGGGGGGGAAGAGGTGTTAGTGTTTGGAATGGGAGTCCCCTTCCATTATAACATCAGGCAGTAATGACATTTCTGGGGTACTCTCTCTCTTACGTTTTGCATGCATACCACTAAGACCTGGTTGTGGCTCACAGCTTGCTTGTCTTACTAAGAATCTGTCTATAGACACTTGTTTTTCCCTATGTTTTAACACTTGTCTGTAGTGAGACATCACATTGTCTCACTATGAATGACCTCTTGTTTTTCCTCTATTGTCATCCTCACATTAGTTTTTGTAGGTTGAACCTTATCACTTATCACTGACTTTCTTGGGACCCATGGTGTGATATATAATAATTACTTTTATGTTCAGAAACCAAAAAAATTGAAAAACAATGAAATTCTTTACAAAGAATTAAGCGCAATCGTCACTAGGTGGGAGGCACTGGTAAACTGAAGTGCGCCTCGCCCTTGCCACCAGGAACCATGCGCTCGGTCGACCCATACGTGTATCAATAAACTCGCCAAGCGAGGCAAAGCTTGTAAATAGAGTCAGATTTTTCGAAGAAATTGAGCTCGTAAACCAAAAAATTTGTAAGTGGGGCATTCGTAAATCGAGGTTTCACTGTAGTACAGTGGAACCTCTATTAACGAGTTTTTCCAGTAATGAGCAAGCCACTCGCAGGAAATTTGTCTCTATTGACGAGCACGCCTCTATTAACGAGCAAAACCACATGGTGCTTCCTAGCGTCTCGCGGGTTCTCGCAAATTCTCGGACACCTCCGACACCAGTGTTGTTGTTGTATCGCACACGACAAGTATCCCTCTGGATTTATTTGAGGTTTTGTTTGGGTTTTTAGTGGTTTTGCGACTACAATTTGTAACACGCGATGTCTCCAAAGAAGCTGCTTGCTAATGATAGTGTTGTCAAGAGGAAGAAAGACACAATTACTGTGGATTTGAAGAAGGAAATTATAGCAAAGCATGAGTGTGGTGTCCGTGTGACTGATCTCACAAGGGAGCATGGCAGGTCCTCATCAACAATTTACACCATTAGTAAGGGAATGAGGAGGTAAGGGAGGATGCTGCCTCTTCCACTGAGATCAGGGAAGTGTTGGGAATGTTTGAAAAGGTGAACGCGTTCTTGGAAAAGCTGCTCTGATAAAGCAGTGACAACCCGGTGTGTGAAAATGTTTAATTAATTTATCACTTTGTGATAACACTGTGAAAGTGTTATCAATTTGTGATAACACTTTGTGAAAGTGTTATCACTTTCGCAGGTATATGTCGCTTGAACGTGACACACTTTTTTCTCTTGGATGCACCCAAACACCGCGCTCAAGCGTCATTTGAGCAAATATTTCTATAAAATCCAATTCTTATCCGATCGACTTTGGGATTGTATACATGTTTGCCATGAAATTTCCCTTTTTTCTAATAACCACATTGCTTATTTGGGAGAACGGCATTGTATTGTATCTTCGTGGTAAGACTATTACATTGTTGACACAACGAGTGTAATCGACGTAGTTTTTTATTTGGTGCTGGTCTAACGCATCCTTGTGTGACATTTGAAATGAAATTTGGGTGAAATTCCCAATAAGAGAGAGCCCGCCTGACTCAGAGGTGGATTCTCCTTCCACACCATAACCTCTCTCCTCCTTCCCACCTCCCCATCGTCTCCCTCAAGCCAGCAACTACTCTTCATAAGGTAAAGTAAATATTAAAACACTACAACAAAACATTTATATTTACATGTGCAGTATTATATTTACATAAAAAAAGTCATACAAGTATGGATGTTTTTGGGAGTGGAACGGATTAAATTTATTTCCTTTATTTTAAATGGGGAAATTTGTTTCTTAAGACGAGTTTTCCAGGTAACGAGCTCGGTGCCAGAACGGATTAAACTCGTTAATAGAGGTTCCACTGTACTTTTTTTGTAACTATGTGGACATATATTGACATTATGGACAATTACATAGTAGAATTTGGTACTATTCACTTTACAGAGTCTGGAAAAAATAAAGCAAAAACCAGACTTAAATATGCCTAGCCCTCAGTATGTCTTAGGCCTGTGATGGTTAGGTTAGGTTTTACTAGCAACATAAATACAAAACTTTTCCCAGTTTGTCCACATTCAATAGTACTATACCAAGTTATATTTTATAATTGCCCATTACATCAATATATGTACGATGGTCACAGTTGTCACTATTAGTACTGTACTATCTAGACAGGAGGATGGGTTGAGCTAAAAGTAAATATCAGATATTTACTTTTGTGGATTAATTAGCTTTTGAGGCCATAATATGTGAATAGATGAACAGTATTAAAACATTCTTGTGTAGTTTGCACAGGACGAACATGTTGTTAGCAGCACTATTCTTAAGTGTTATTTATCACCAACTTTCAGGATGTTATGTATTTTGAGAAGACCGACGACAACTGATGACTTCCATAGGGTAATAAAAATATGAGGTACAACAACATTAGCATTTGAAATCAAATGGATTACTTAAACCCTTTTGCCATCAGACTAATAGTAGAGAAGTGTCTAACATGAAATATATTGGTTTCCCTGTCTGCCTTTCTTATTTAGCAGAAACCTCAGTAGGAAATATATATAGTTTTAAGAAGCTTGTATCATCAGTTAAACTTGTGTGTGTGTGTGTGTGTGTGTGTGTGTGTGTGTGTGTGTGTGTGTGTGTGTACCCAATGATATATTACAGTATATTTGTTAAGATTTGTAACAACATAGTGTTACAACATTGTATGCAAGACTTCCATGTATTTATTCGTAATAATGAGAAACTACAGGATGATCTTGACAAAATGAAAGAATGGTCTCACAAATGGCTACTAGAGTTTAAGTGAAGCAAGTACAAAGTAATGGAACTGAGTGCTAGAAACAGGACACCAGACACAAGATGAAAGAGAAAACCCTTCAGAGACAGGACAGTGAAAAATATTTTAAGAGTTTATTTTATTAGTGTGATGAGATTGAGGAAGACATCAGTGGGGGCATCCATCATATTTTTAGTAAAGAGAGAACATTATCAAAAGGGGACATTAGTAACTAGAGAATGAACATGAAAACTAAGCATCGAACAAGAGGGCTGCAGGTACAGTCTGTCAAGGAAGTCCTGAGAGTGATGGTGATCAGGTAAAGTCGGGAGGCAAAAGGATAAGTGACAGAGCCTCTTTATGAAATAATAGAATGTCTTTCCACTGAAGTCTTTCTCAATCTCGTCAAACTCTGTATTGACTCTTAACGCTTTTGCTTTGAGTGGTAAATATTTCTCTCAAACTTTTGGTATCGCTGTGGAATATTCTCTCTTCTGTTCTTGCCTGTGTGTGTGTATATATATGTATGTATATGGAATGCTTTGAAACTGCTGTTCTTTCCCTTATTCATATTCGTCCTTCTCTCTTGCTTCACTATGTTGTTATTTGCTCATTTGCCACATGACTATGATATTTTCCAGCACTTACTCTCTCTTCTCTCAACAGCTTAGCTCCTACCTTTAATTTCAAAGTTAAATGATGATCTTATTTCCTTCTTCCCATTTTAGGATGTAAATGTTCACAGCTCTGTGTCTGGCTTCTCGTTTTCTGTCTACTACAAGCCATTGATATGTACATTCATTTCTTTCTCAAGCTAAAATAATTTTGTCCATCCTAGACCTGCTTCCAACATTAGAAACTATATAATATGCCTTCCCTTCATATTTGAACTTAAAAATCTCAATAATACCCTTCTTTCTCTTTCATATAAAACTTGCCCTTTGATAAACTAACAATTCGTTGCAATTTGGTTCCCACCACTTCCCTGGCTTCCAGTGCTGCTGGTGTTTATTGTAGTTCCTGTTTTCTTGTCTTCTCTGATACTTTTGGGAAACTGGCCTTACTCTTAATGACAGACTTAAAGAACACAAAATAAGAGTTAAACTTGCTGACATGAACAGTGTCGACAGGAGCACTGGTCTGTGGTTTTGATATGAGCACGCATCAGTGGTTGTGATTTGCTTAATATTTAAATAAATACAGAGTCTCAGCTCTGTATCCTCACGCGTGACAATATGATGGTAGTGCTTTTTCTCATGGCAATTCCTCTCAAATTCTGCCATTGTGAAGGTGGATGTTGGCCATAGCTTCTCTCCTGTATTCTCTAGGATTTATTTTTCATGACTGTTCATATTGTTGCAGTGTTGAATATGTTGTCAGGCAGTCGTTCTTGATTTTGTCTGATTTGAATGGAGTAGGGGGTGTTCATCTGTTAGATATGCACAAATTCAAACTTTTCAACGTTGTTCTTTTCACATTCGTGAAGAACCATCGACTGCCATTGTACGTGGCTAAATTCGACAACCAAGTGAATTATGCTGTATGCCATGTGTTTAGACTAGAACCAGTGGGAAATAATTCATCTCTCTTCCAGTTCTGATGTTATTAATCCTAGAAAGTTTAGAAATCCTAAGAGATAAGTGGCAGCATGATGTTGCTTACTTCTCTGTAGCCAGTTCAGCCCTGGATCCCAGCCCTGCTTTCTAGTTGTCCAAATCTGGTCTATCTTCCTGGGTTGCCTCTCATGCAGAGAATCAGTAGGCAGCATCGCACAGACACCTCCAGTCTCTCCACCAATCTTTGAGTTTGGCATTTTTAGAGTAGCTCTGTCATCACCTTATGAGGATCAGGTGACAATGATCATAATTCTCCCTCTGTGAGTGTTATCCCAATATTAGTATTAGGTAGCCTGGTGGTGTATTCAGTGGTGTGTGGTTGTTTTCTATTTTTATTGCCACTATTTTGTCTTTTATGCCTGGTTATTTTTCTTTAAGGGGCTATACTGAATACAAACCCATTTTATGTGACTTCCTTGTCAGAGCGCTATGCCTTGCAGAGTCAATTAATCATTCTGGCCCCCTTCCTTTTGAGCTTGGTCAAGCATTTTTCACCGACTTCTTTCTAAGTGCCATCTTTGAGTGTTGGATTTCCTATGTATGGGAATATTTCTTGTAGTTGTCTTTCATTGACATTATGAAAGGACAATATTCCTATTCACTTAGGCAAATGAAACAAGTTTTTCAGAGCTGCATTCTCTGTGTTGCTCTCTGAGGCTTGTACTCATTCGTACACTCTTACCCAGAGTTTATGGTTTCTGGCAAGTCCCGTTTACCTAACCCTCTGGAGTTATTTGTTACTTACATCAGTAAATGGGGTAATGTTAATCTTGAGTAACACTTTGAGTTCTTACATGAGGTTCTTATGGGCACTCTTAAAGCTGGATTGAATGTTCTCTAAATACACCTTTGCACCAGTATGACCCTGCAGGGCTTGTTGAAATTGACTCTACCTATCACTGAATAAGGGGAAGTTAGATCTAGCTCTTTGTCCGCCTCCCACCTGTTTATACCTGACTAGCTAATTACCTCTCTCAGTATTAATGTTTTCATCGTAAAGTTGTGGATGGAATTTGTTTCAACAACCTCTTCCTTTAATGCATTCCAGTTGCTGAACACCCATACAGGAAATGTGAACTTCTTACATCTCTTCGACTTAATCGTATCCAGCTTCCACTGATGTCCCCCCACCCTTGTCCTACCCCTTTTTAATTTAAATAGGTTTGCCTTGTCCACTATGTTTATTCCCTTCAAGATCTTTTACAGTATGTAGTTATCATATCCCCCGTTTCTTCTCTCCAAGATTGTGAGGAGAGCTTTCTCAACCTGCCCTCATAGCTGATGCCTCTCAATTCTGGTACTAATCTAGTGGCAAACCTCTGAGCTTCTCAAGTTTCTGTTTATTCTTCACAAGATGCTGGTGCTGCATACTTGGTCTCACATAAAGAGTGTGTGTGGAGTTGAAAACCTTCTTGTTTAGATTCTTAACTAACATCCTTGTGTTTGATGACTTCCCATGTGTTGCTGATGCTATCCTGTTCATAAGAGTGTCTGGTGTTAGTGTTGGGATTATGTGTACTTCCAGGTGTTTCTCTTTTTGTTTCTTGTAATTGCTTTTTCCTTATGGTGTAATTAAATGCTGGTCTCATATCTTCCTTTCCCATTTTCATTAATTTACACTTACTTGATTGAATTACAGCAACCATTTACCTCCCCACTCATGATGTTAGCTGAAGTGTTCCTGACCTGCTTTCCAATATCCTTCGTTTTTTTCTCTGTTTCTCTTGGCTTTCTTTCTTCCTTACTCGTGTCCCAGTCAATGAACACCTGGTTGTATCATCCCCCATCTTTGCCAGTATATACATCACTGGATGGCTTGTTTAGAAGGTAACCTTCACTGGCCTTTGTTGTCCCCATTGGACCTTCCCTATCCTGCAAACATTTGTTATACCGTGGGTTGCCTTGCTGGCCTGCACTGTGTCTAGGATCCCTTTTAACCCTTCCCAGTCTCCATTTTGTCTCTCCAGCCATGTGTGGCTCCTTCTGGTTCTGTCAGGTTGTTTATAATAGATGTTTCTTTCCATGTCTTGTTTGTTGCAGCTCACTACTTGCTATGATCTGACAGCCTCTATATTGCTCTTATTATCTCTCTTACTTCTCACCCTTTGGCTACTTCTGCTAAGGTTCTTGCTAGCTCTTGACCATCACATCCTCTGCTTATTTATTTATGCTTCTTCTCTTGTTGCATCCTTGGTATTTTGACCTAACTATGCAACTTCCTTAACCCTTTTCTTAAGCTCGTTGACATGCTACCCTGCCTTGGTTCTGTAATTTCAGCTTATCTCCTTTTCTCCGCTTATCTTCATTAGTTTGTTACTTCTCAATTCCTTCCAAGCCCCATAAGTCGTAATGGCTTGGCACTTTCTCTTGATAGTTCCTTCCCTTCCTCTTTCCCCTATGGTCATTTGTAGTTCATGTATCTTCTTTCTCTCAGTTTTTCTATTTCTATAATTAACTGTTTTTTCAGTTTTTATTTCTCCATTCCCTCATTTCTCTACCTCCCTCCCTCTCCTATCCTCTCTTCTTGTGTCTTTGTCTCCACTATGATTTTATCTCTCTTTAGCTCTTCTAATGTCTTGGTTTCCTCTATAGTGCTTCATTTGCTTTTCTCTCTCTCATCTAGACCTCAATTTTTATTAATAGGTCCCATGTTGCTTTCACCATGTTTCATCTCTAATTCCTCCCTATAATTATTTCCTTTTTTCACCTCCTTACATCTTGGTCTATCTCAGAAAATTTGTGTCAGGTACTTTAGGGTAACTTTGCAGTACAACATTAAGAGTGTCTCCCACTCCCCAAGTCACTGACTGGTAACTGGGGTGTTGCTCCTTTGTCTTCTCTACTGTTCTTTATCCTTTTGTGTGTAGATTTATTCCCAGTGGTGCTTTTCTCCAGTTTCATCTATTGCCTTCACTAAAACTTTTCTGTGGAGAGCCCTTTCAGCTCCCCAGAGCAATACCGGACTGATGTGTGTATATTAGACCGTGGTAACAGTCAATCAATGGAATTCTAGGCCTT